CCCCTTCCATAAATAATGACCGGTCCCTTACCGACGTATAACTTTCAACCACATACGCCATGCCGTCGACTGATCCAGGTGCATGCACAATCGATCCATTTTTATTGAGCAAATCCTCTGCTTTATTCGATATTGAACGAAGAATCTCTGCGGGAGCGGATTGGATGCCTGATTCTACCAAATCCGTGGAGATATTAACTCGTTTTATCGTTGGTGAGGACGATTCGGAAGTGATAGAACTGCATGACGGATTATCGGTGTCATTTGCTGTTTCCGACATTTGAGCATCGTGAAATTTTCTTAGATGTTTGTCGCGCTGATTTGCGGTCATTTTGAACCAAGCACTTTGTTGCACTTCAAAGGATCGGAACTTTGACGCCAAGCGGTACGGTCCCTTGTTTATTACTGCAGAATCTACATCTTCCTTCTGACGAAAAAGCAACGTGCTCATGTCATTGCAAAACTTACTCATCTCGCTCTCGTTGAAATCGACAGCACGTTTAATCATATATATCGTTGGCAGACTCGGGCATGTTGTTGAAGTATGGTAATGGAGGATCGCCCAATCCGGCGTTGACACGAGTTTCCCTCGACATAGATGAGATGAGCATTTCTGCCTGTAAAAGTGGAGAAGGGTTTTTTCATTTAATCTTTCTGAGATCTTTGTCAAAATAGATTTGTCGTTGACAATTGATATGCCTTTATTGGTGGCTTGAAATGGAAACGACACCTGATGTAGCCGTTCCTTTCATATCTTGGCTAATTCTTGACATATTTTGAATAGAAATGTGCATTAATTTTTGGCGATCCGCCATTTTGGACATTCATAAATTCACATTACTTTATAAGCAGGTCACGCGAAGACGACCACTATGTAAAATGAGCCCAAAAATATACTAACGACTGCTATTTCAAAACTAGTTGCAATGCACTGAATATAGGTATCAAAATGTCTTCGTTGTTATTCTGTCGCGCAGGAGAAGTTTTGTAAGGCTTTCCCTGCTTATATAATGTCACCAAAACCGTTTCTAATTAATTTCAAGATGGCGGACGATCCAATCGCTCTTAAGCAAGAAATGAAAGAAATAAATAAATATTTTTTTTTAAATAAATAAATAGTTTTTTGTATTTGTTGGATATTACTAAAATTCTTCTTTACCAATGATGTACTTTTAAAACAAAAACAACAAACACAAACGTAAATGTAGAAAATAAATTACAACACAAATGTAAATATGCACGGTTAGATCTTTTTCCGTATACTGATTTTAATTACTAACCCTTTCAGCTATGTAGTCGTAAAATGTAGCATTAGTGCCAGTTGGTAGATATTGTTGTTCTTTTGCATTCCACGATTCTTTCACGGTTAATAATTTAGTCATAAAGTCGTCAGCGTTGTTTGCATCTACAAGACCTATATATAAATGCAAGATATGAAAGAAAAAATAAACAAATGAGTTATGTTTATGCAGTTCCTGGGAAGGTCGCTGATTGAAGAGGCATTCATTATACCACACTGATCCTTGTTCACTCTATGGTATGCGTCCTTTGGAACTTTGGAAATAGCTTCATGTCGCAGTTTTTCGACAGTGCTTTCTTTCGTTCTGATGTATGCAGGAGCGAGTCGCATGTTGCAGTTGCCATGAGTAGCCACTTCTACTGGATGCTCCTTCCCGGTAAATACATATTGTAAGAAAATCAAATTGGGAAATTCTACAAAAATAGAAAACTGAAATTAGGGGCGGACCATTGTAAATTCTGGAGGGCGGGGGGGTATAAAATTTTTGCGACACGATTTTTTTTCAGTCTTATGTCTCTGCAGGATTTTTTTATGCATTTAGCCTCTGCAAGAATTTTTTTTCAAGACTATTTGCAATTTGCTGTTTGCTTGCACGATTTTTTTTTCTCTGACGTACGTAATGGCTGCGCAAATTTTTTTACAGGCATTTTTCTTTGCACGATTTTTTTTGGGGGGAATTTTCACCGCCCCCCCCCGCGATTTCTATTAGTCCACCCCTTAGAAAAAATACAATATTTTGAGGTGATCTAGAAAACAGAAGTATAACGACAAAATATATCCTACCTACAACGTATGACGCATACTTATTCAGATCATAAGATGATTTGTTTTTGTAGTATGTTCTCTTTAACGTGTATGTAGTTTCATCTGATACCACTGCCTTGCCTTGGTTGATTATAGATATTTCTCAATTTCTAATGGCAAATCTAGTATATCCATTACCATTATGTTTCCATGAACCCAGGTCGTCACATTTCCAGTCGTTGGATGATTTAAGCAATGTTGTATCAAGAAGAAAACAAACGTTGTGTGATACAGATTTCGGTGGCTTTTTACATAACAGAGCCTCTTCAACTGGTTTTAAAAGGATTTTTAAGACGTCGCCTGAGCTTGTATTTTCTGATCCCCACTGGTATACTGGCAAAGAATGATCGCCTTTATAAGGATCGCCAGCATTCCTATACCAAGAGTAAACAAATTAATCTTGCCTATAATAAACCCTGAGATTTTTGAGAAATTATTTACAATGACTTTGAGCGAATTATATGGAACTTGTTAAAAGCATGCATGAAAACGCAAATGTATAAAAACCGTTCATATATCAAGTAATTTACCTTCGTAGAACTTTTTCTCGTTCGTTTTCACTATCATCTGGACTATCACTGCTTTCCTGTTTCTTTATTGTGCGTAACCTACAAAGAATGAGCGACCAAAACAATTGGGTAGCTATATATATGTGCAATAAACAACGTATGCAGCTAGTCGGACAGATAACTCACTTTTTCTTCGCAGGCGGATCGCGGCAGTCAATTTCAAAATCCGAATTATCCTCAGAAGATACGATGATAACCTGTAATAATGGATAGAAAATGAATAAGAATAAAATAAAAATGGTTTTTAAGATATTATGACTATTTTTACCATTATTAAGTAATTTTTAATAAATGAGTGTTTTATTATAGAACACGATCTACGAGTTCATTGAACGGCTTCAAAAACGTCTCAGTTACATGTAGATCATGCACGGCATTGGCGAACTAATTTTCAAAACAAATGTGTAATAGTGGTGTGCCTTATCTTGCCGTTTAAAGATCAAAAATCGGACGATAATTGTGAGAAGACAACTCACGGGTCTTGGATCGTTGATTGGGAAAGCTTTACGACCGGTGTTCACAAGTAGAAAGGTTCGTGATGATGTCAAGGTACAGGAACTGAAGCCGCCCCCTGTGAATCATCAATGCGTTGTTTACAAATTTAAATGTGGTCTGTGCGATGCAGATTATGTTGGCTATTCTTGTCGACACCTACATCAACGCATTGATGAACACAAGCGATCAGTGGTAGGAATCCATATGCGCGATAATCATGGAGAGAGCTCATCAAGGATTGAAAAGTGCTTTTCGATTCTGCGCAAGTGTCGACGGAAGTATGAGCGCCTTCTCTCCGAGCATAGGCTGCCCAAAAATGCGTGTTGAAATTTTTGTTGAAATCGAGTCTACTCAGTTTATTATTATTATTATTTGTCATAATAATAAACTGAGTAAACTCGATGCATGCCCGAACGCCACGCGCGAGGGTAAAAATTTCAACACGCATTTTTGGGCAGCCTATGCTACGAGATGCTTTACATTAGGGAACTGAAACCATCTTTGAACACTCAGTCTGACTCGATACGTTCTAAGCTTTTTGCTTAATATTAATTTGTTAATTTTGTTTGTTGTGTTTGTCTTATGTTGGGTTTTTTTGATGGGTTTGTGAGGTTTTTTAAAAATATTTTAGTAATTTTTTGTCTTGCACATTTAGTAAAAATTCTGCATGCTTGCGCAATTATTTGTTTACGTGATACGAACACGCGGACCGTTATAATTAATGCAAAATTACGAATAATTCTTATCCGCTATCATTTGTTTCAAAGTTAATTTTACAAAAGATTTTAATTAAAAGAAATTGTAATAGTTGAGAGAATAGATGTTTAATTTTGAACCGTGTTTTCTCAGATATAAAGACACACATTAAACATGTATTTCTCAAAAATGTTTTCATGAATATTAATGAATATTAATTAATAAAATTTTATTAATTACTATTAATCATTTTAGCTGTTGATAATCGTAGGTTCTCTCGCAAAAATAGGTTAACCGAAATTGATCCTATACTAGACCCAGTACCCTGCTCAATTGGGAGATGGCTAATTGCACTGAGGAAGATCCGAGCTTACGAAAGCTTTGCGATAAAAACTTTACGTGGTGTTTTCACGAAATCAAAACTTATTTACTATTTTATGCCATGCAAATATATAAAGAACTCAAATATTTTTAAATTGAATAATTCTTTTCAACTTACATCTCTATCGTCTTCAGTTATATCCAAATGCACAGGAGTCACAATATCAATTGAGTTAGGTGGAAAGGCTATTTCAATATCCGAAGAGTCATCAGAAGATAATATGATAACCGACAAAAATTAATAACAAATAGAAAAGCACGGCATGCACGCATTGTAAAATTGTACCATTAAGATAAACAGACCTAAAATAATACTCCTATAGAACAGCTTTACATTCTTTTTATATATATACCAAATAATTATAGAATGTGAAATTTGGTCTATTTAGAGGACTTGACCTTACACTATAAAAACATTTCTACCATTTACATGCATACAGATCATGGAAGTAATACTTATCAGCTTACATTCCTATTTTCGTCATCTTCAGTCGTATCTACAAAGTTTTGTGCAGGCGCAGTATCAGATGTGTTGTTATTTTCAGGAATTCCGTATCCGAGAACTTCTGTTTTCATACTAAAATGAATGAATTACAACAGCAAAATTGTAAAAATCGGAACCTATTCATTGCGCGGGTATACTGAGCAGGGTCGCATGAATGTCTACTATAACTAAAACATGCAAGGAGTGTTTAGATTCGATTCAAGAAACAAGTGTTCAGGTAGATGTGATTTTTTAGTTTTCGAAAAACTAAACGCCTTGGTATTCTTTTGCAAAAACCCATAAGTAATAAAGTATAATAAAGTTTAATAATATATTAAAAAGCAAGAATTTTATTTAGTATGTTCATGTGACGTCATGCACTGACAATTTATGCCCGCGCGGAATGCTCATTGTTGTGAATGAATTTTTATTTAAAGACCAGTAGAGTCGGCCTCTAATTTATAAAATTTAAATAATTGAAAAGACCAGTTAGATATTCTGTGAGACCGACTGCAATCATAGTAAAACGTTTTTCTTCGTTATTAAGTTATGACCTGCCGACTTTTTCTCAGAATGAGAGCGATTTCTTCTCAGAATGAGAGAATCGTGTTTCAGAGATTCGAGAATTCAAACTGGCCCGGAAACCCCAGTCAGGTTCATGGCTACGCCTACGCCACTCATTGTTGGACCTCTGCACAAAGTCGATTCTCATTTCGTGCACATCCACATAGCGAAAATAGATTCGTCCACTCCTGATCTTCGTCAAAAATTCCTGCTTATTTCATAATTTCATGCGAGATACCGCTGGTTAATTGGG